GGTCTAGTGGCATCCTATAAGAAAAGGAGCGACCTTTGGGAGATAGGAATCATGGAGCCCCCACAAATTGTTCAACGACCATCTTTAATCAGGATCATCGACAACTAAGCTCTCGACTGATGAGTGAACGATTAATGCCTCTTGTTGAAAAGGATCCCTCCATCAAGGTGAGTGTATGTATTAACGAAATTGTTTCTTTTTTCAAATACACTCCATCTTACAAGAAAGCATGGATTGCTAGAAACAAAGCAATCGAACAAGTGTTTGGTAATTGGGAAAAGTCATACAATGAACTTCCAAATTACTTGTTGGCCCTTAAGAAGTTTGTTCCAGGCACTGTAGTAGAAATGCAAACACTACCGATATATACAGATGACGGGACTATTATTGCTGGGAAACAAATCTTCCACCGACTATTTTGGGCTTTCCAACCATGCATACGTGGCTTTGCATATTGCAAGCCTTTACTACAGATTGATGGTACCTGGTTATATGGAAGGTACAAAGGTACACTACTAATGGCTGTAGCACAAGACGGAAACAACAATATTTTCCCAGTTGCCTTTGCCTTAGTGGAAGGTGAGACGGCGGATGGTTGGGGTTTCTTTCTAAAAAACTTGAGAATGCATGTAGCTCCTCAACATGGATTATGTTTGATTTCTGACCGACATGCATCTATCGAAAGCGCTTATAACAATCCTGAAAATGGTTGGAATAACACTACATCTGTCCATGTGTATTGTATCAGGCATATTGCGCAAAATTTTATGAAGGATATCAAGGACCGTATCCTCCAGAAAAAAATAATCAACATGGGTAAGTACTTTTTATGCAAACATTACATGCTCGTTAATAGTATACCATTATATTAACCAATATTTTTTTTAACATGTAGGGTATGCGCTGAACCAACCAACATTTAAATATTATCGTAATGAAATTGGGATGGCTAACGGTGATGCTTTGAGGTGGATAGACAAAATTCCCGTTGAAAAATGGACGAGGGAATTTGACGAGGGTCGTCGTTGGGGGCACATGACAACAAACCTTGTCGAGTCACTAAATTCCGTATTTAAAGGCACTCGTAATCTCCCCATCACATCGTTAGTAAGTGCAACATACTATAGGATGGGAACACTCTTTGCTGAAAGGGGTGCAAAGTGGAGTGCAGTTTTGAATTCTGGACAAACATTTACAGAACGGTGCGTGAAGGTGATGAAAGAAGAGACGTCTAAATCCGCCACACATCAGGTTAGCATATTTTACTATAATAATAACACTTTCAGTGTGAAGGAGACAATTAACCACGGTGAGGGGAAGCCATTGGGGCGTTACAAGGTCAACCTAATGGAAGGATGGTGTGACTGCGGAAAGTTTCAAGCATACCGTGTTCCTTGTTCACATGTTATCGCTGCATGTTCTGTGGTGCGCCAAGACGCATTTCTTCTGTTGTCTGACGTTTATAAGGTTGCGAACTTATTTGGGGTTTACAGCACGAGCTTTCCAGTTCTACCATACGATGAGTATTGGCCCACTTATGAGGGAGATCAAATTTGCCATAATCCAGTTATGCGGAGGAACAAGAAAGGTTGTTCCGTGAGCACCCGTATTACAACAGAAATGGACGCATATGATAAGTTGGAGAGAAAATGCACATTGTGTCGTCTTCCAGGTCACAACCGAACGCGATGCCCCAATGTAGGAACTAGTAATAATTAGTTATTCATTTTGTTATCAATCTGCAAAGTTGTATGTATAATGACGCCGAGTTATTATGTTTCATTTCACTAATACTTCTGCATTTAATATAAATAACAATTCGAAAAAACAACACATAAATTAAAATACTGAGACGAATAGTAGAACTTAGCAACAACGTTAAACGTAAACAACATCAACATGTTTAAAGAAGGACATAATCATTTCTAGGATATTACAATCAGTAACACAATATCTTTTTGTTGAAGCATCATCATAAGAACACATGCGTCGTTGTGAACAAGTCTCCAAGAACGAGTGGGTCCATTTAAGCCAGACACCGTAACTAACCTCTCTATTTTCCGAATCTTTTCACCTTGAGCAATTTCTTCCCCTAACCATCCCTCCAAGTGCCTATGCAGATGCTCAAATGTCTGCGTGTTCAACAATTTGATCTTCATCGGAGGCTTTACTGGAGAAAAAATAAATTTTGCGTCTCTTTTCATATATGGAAATATTGAAAACTCCCCGGATGTTGAAGACATTTTTAAGATACAACTAAAGAAAAATAATTTAAGTGTAGCTTGGATCATTCAACATCAACGATATTTATAGTTCACAGCAAAAATTTTAAATTAATAAAATAATAAAACCCTCTGCCCATTAACGTTGCGGAGCCGTAAATAAATAATAAAATTACGAAATTTTCCGCCCATCGCACTGACGGAACCGTACTGAAATAATAAAATAATAAAATGAATAAAACCCTTCGTCCATTGCAGAGGCGGAGCCGCACTGCAATAATAAAATAACATGACCTTCTATGATTAATATTTTAACATTGATTTCTTATTTAATAATAATTTTAATTTATTTTTAAAATTACATTAAAATAAATTTTATTTGTATATTAATATTTTAATATTTTAATATTTTAATAATTTCATTAAAATGACTTAAATTTGAATATTTCAATTTTATTTTATACAAATATATTGATTTCTTATTTAATAATAATTTTAATTTATTTTTAAAATTACATTAAAATAAATTTTATTTGTATATTAATATTTTAATATTTTAATAATTTCATTAAAATGACTTAAATTTGAATATTTCAATTTTATTTTATACAAATATATTGATTTCTTATTTAATAATAATTTTAATTTATTTTTAAAATTACATTAAAATAAATTTTATTTGTATATTAATATTTTAATATTTTAATAATTTCATTAAAATGACTTAAATTTGAATATTTCAATTTTATTTTATACAAATATAATGATTTCTTATTTAATAATAATTTTAATTTATTTTTAAAATTACATTAAAATAAATTTTATTTGTATATTAATATTTTAATATTTTAATAATTTCATTAAAATGACTTAAATTTGAATATTTCAATTTCATTTTATACAAATATATTGATTTCTTATTTACTAATAATTTTAATTTATTTTTAAAATTACATTAAAATAAATTTTATTTGTATATTAATATTTTAATATTTTAATAATTTCAGTAAAATGACTTAAATTTGAATATTTCAAATTCATTTTATACAAATATATTGATTTCTTATTTAATAATAATTTTAATTTATTTTTAAAATTACATTAAAATAAATTTTATTTGTATATTAATATTTTAATATTTTAATAATTTTATTAAAATGACTTAAATTTGAATATTTCAAATTCATTTTATAAAAATATATTGTTTTTTTATTTAACAGCAATTTTAATTTATTTTTAAAATTATTTTTTTAAAAAAAACGTTGCTCACACAGTTCCGCCAATGCAATGGACGGAAGCTGTGTATTTTTAAGACCATCCGCCCATCCATTGGGCGGAGCTTCCTAATATTACTTTTTTTTTTTGAAAAGGTGGTATATTGAGAATATTGGTTTAAATGTGTGGTATATTGGGATATAGTTGTTAAAAGGGGTGTATGTTGGTAAAAAATTCCTCTCTCTCCCTCTTGTATTACATCATCATCATGTTCCTTTTAGAAATAACAAAAGAAAAATAAATCATAGATTAGAAAAGAGGTGACTGGAGAGAAAAAGAGAAGCGCGGCAGCGACAAGCCTGCCTCACGGCGGCGCCGCTGCGAAAAGCAACAATTTCCAAAAAAAATTACATTTCTGAGTTCGTCTTCCTTCCCTGTTTCCCAATATCGGATTTATTTTCAAAAATGGTCACCAAAAAGCCTAGATCTAGAGAGGAAGTTTGAAAATATTTTGTCTTAAACTTGAATAGATCAACATAAAAGCAGAAATTAGAGGATGGAATAGTATTCAGAAGAAGATTATCAACCTTCTGGAGGAGGAATGAGGAGGAACGACGATCAGTGGTGCTCAGGCGCAGTGGTTTCCAGCGAGAAGAGCGATTTTCCGGTGGCGGCTTAGGGATGCTCTGGCACGAAGGATAGTGTATTGATGATGGGAGTTCTCGCTGGGCAGTGAGGCGGAAGTAAAATGTTTGCTTGCGGAATCGATGAAGAGGTAGTTATTGTGCTATGTGTAATCAGAGCAGTGGAAGGTGATTGTTGTTTGCACAGAATGAAACGGAGGGTTACGTGAACACGGGGTTGGTGATGGCTGAATCGTGAGATGCGGCTTGCGAAGAGGGAGGACGACAACAGTTCTCAGGAAAGGGTGTGGTTCTGCCGAGAATTTATTCAAGTAAAGTAAGTTAGTTTCTACTTTCTGCTCTAAATTTCTGTCAGTTTTTTCAGTGTAAAGTCCCTTGAATCAGTGCCAATTGAAGGTTTATATAAAGCTTAGCAAACAGGGCTTTGTATAAACAAACTTATGTTGAGATTGAGTTGAAATCATATTCTGATGAAATATATTTTTTTCTTTCAAATCCAGCCCATGAATTTTCTCTTGCATAAATCCTAATTTCACTTTTGTTCTCAATCTTGTGGTCAATCTTTATGGGCCGACCTTGTATATGTTTTTTTCTCTTCTTTTTTTTTTCGCTTGAAATTTGTTTGTAAAAGTTGCTTCCATCTTGATTAGTTATGAATTAGTTGAATGAAGAATATGGTTGCAAGTAAAATATCAACAAGGACCCTTCGTAGTTACTTAAAATGGTGTTGAGTTCATGGCTTCTTTTTGTGAATTTTCTACTTCTCGCACATAATTTGCGATATTGAAAATACTTTGTGCTCATTTTTTTAACCTTGATGGTTGTAGGCTTGGATGGAATCAAGACATTGCAAACTTGATGCAAGTTGTGAAGGATGCTCTGGTGCCATGAACAATCTGATACTTGACACGTTGGTTTCTCACTTGGTTCTTCTCTCATTCTTGGCAAATTGAACATTGTTAATTGCATTGTAGGATAAGGACAAACATGGTGAAGAATAGAAACAAATGGGGCAGCCTTGTACTAGTTTTAAATACACTAGGTTTAGATACTTTTCTTTGCTATACTTCAAACAAGCTTGTAAAACTTTGATTTCTTTGTGCAACCTTTCATGTAATTTATGAGATATTTTGTAGCATCTTTGAAGTTTGAGCAGAGAGACTTGAACCTTGAATGTATTTAGGGTTTGCATAAGAGAATTTGAAATACGTGACTTGGTAATTATGCGAAAGAGGTCTTGTATTTTCTTGATAAATGTTTTTGAAAAGTTGAATTTGGAATAAGACTTGAAAGAATTGATGTTGAAATTGCAATAAAGAAAATTGAATTATAATAATGCTTGGAAGCTTGAATTTGAGAATGGAAACTTGAAATAAGCTTTGTCTTGTAATTTCTTTTTGACCACTTGGAATCAATAGTCTTGAATTTGGAATTTGGTTGAATGAGAATGCTTTAAATTACAAGCAACTTCCTTTTGAGAAATTCTCAAAGATGAATTCGAATTTTCCTTGAATAATATTTGGAATATACTTCCAATAAACCAAATGAACGTGATCTTGATAGAAAAATCAAGCGCCTTAAGAATCTTAGTCAAAATTCAAATTCAATTCAAAAATTGTTAATGCTTCAACATAAAGGATTTGTATTATAAGCAATAAACAATCGATGAATCTTCAAACTCAAAATTTTATATCATAGCTCTTGACTTGAATGACCACAAAAATGATCCTTGAAGATAAACGTATGGGAACATAGTTTTCAATTCAAATGATTAAGAAACTTCTAAATCTAAAAAAATGACTCGTAAAGTTTAAATACATTCTCTGGCTTTCTAAGCACATTCGCTTTTGCTCTTTGAAACAAATTTGTAGACAAAACCATTTGTGATATATTGTAAAAAGAATCGATCCGAAATGATGAATATTGAAAGAATTATGGTCCTTCTAAGTTGGACGAAAGTCACGTGAATTTAGGTCAAAATCACAAAACGACCTCTAATGTACTCATACTTTTGATGGTCTTCTACACATAATTAGCTCTCGACTTGAAAAGAGAAATTGGAGGTGATGTCAAGGAGATCCATATACTCGAAGAATCACTCAAAAATACTGAATAATGAATTAGTTATGATCGTTTGAACTCAAACTTGCAAATGTTGACTTTTGGTCCGACAACTTCGAATCAACTCGCGAACTTGATATTTTTCACAAACCAAGGCATTCTTAATAATATATGAACTTAAAACAAATAAGTCTTGAACATATCATACTCACACTTGTTAGAACTTGAGAGTACTCGTCGAAGAAGGCATGTAAATAAACACATGAACCTATCTTGAAGAGTCTTGAGAATTAAGCCACCAATCCCGCCTTAACCATGCTGAATGAAGCTTGAGGATAGCGTGACCTAAGATTATAGATCCCCACCCTGAAACATAGGCTTTTGGGAACCATCTATGGCTTGAACAAACCACAACCCTAATCGGAGAACCATCACCTGAATTTCTTGATCGGAAACCCTGTCTTACAAGAAACAAAATAAACAAGACATATTTTTGGATTTTGGTTAGAGGTCAGTAAAAATATAAAATACATATATACAATATATACAATAAGGGTGCTTAGTAATCTCTCAAGATCAAACTTAAAGATAAGACACAGTGGAAGAAGTACCCAAACCCTAATGCGCGATCTTGTGTATTAATGGTATGAAATGATATAGGGATCTTAGGGGCAAAATTTGGGGTGCAACAATGTGTCTACAAGAAACTTTTATAGGTCGACACATAAAATAAATATTTTTATGTTTCTTTTTTTGTTTTAGTATAGTTCGACATATAACACTAATGTGTCGACACATCCATTAGTTAGTTGGACACGTGTCTGCAGAAAGCATTGAAATCTCATCCTTTTCATCTTTCATTCTCTTATATTTCTCTTGTGCGCTTTAAAAACAAACGAAAACCTATCGTTGAATCACCATAATTTTGTTCAAACTTTATTCTTCCTCATAAATTATTCCATAAACACCATTCCACAAATTACATTTGTGTTCATCTCCTTCAATATTCCAACTAAATTGGCATTAAAGGTTCACTATATTCAAGGTACATTCATTCATTGCATTCTTCATTGACATTAATATAAATTGAATGTTTGTTTGCTGATTTTGTATATGTACCTTTATCATAACATCATTTTCATTAGTTCACATAGCATATCTCTCTAAAAATTCAATTGTTTTTGTTACTTCTCTGGTTTTAGGATTGACATTAATTTTAGTAAAACAAATATAGTAGCAATATGTTAAATAGGATGTATTAACTTATTGAGAAGAACAGGTTGAACAAGAAGTCCTATTTTATGAAGAAACATGTTGAGATGAGATGTTTCGTCATCTGGAGAAACATATCGGACAAGATGTCCCATGCAGAGTCATTCAACATCGTTACTAGTTTGGGTTGGGCTGTTCGATCAGTTTAAGATTTAACAGATGCAAAATATTCTAGGAATATTATTCTATCCTATGTGGTTCTAATTTTAAGGTCTGGAATATTTAAGTTGAAATCAAGAAGAATATTGAATTTCTAATTATGGAGATACATTATAAAAGTCGTGATTGAAGACCTATCTTTATGCAAAAGATTCTACAGATTTGTAGTAGCTAATATGCTCTGATTTGAAGCCTAAATCCAGTTGGCAAAAAGGTAATAAATAGAAGAATATTAACCTAGAAAAGGTACCAGCTGAAGATGCAAAGTTTAGATTATTAAGGCTGAGTCTATAAGCCACTCTCTAGGAGAGTCAGTATGTGTGAGCCTCTCTAATATCATGTTGATAGAAGAGTAGGACTGTTCCTTGAGTTGTAAGGTTTTGTTGTTCATTCTTAAGCTTTTAAGCATAAAATGTATATTATTCTTGGATGAAGATTTGAAGCAAATCCAAAGTGTTGGTTAGTCAAGAGTCTTGGATAAACTTTATAATTTATAGAGATATCGATGAGGTGATTTAGGAAGTGAGGTGTCGATTTCTCATATTTATGGAGGACCTAAGTAAAAGTATCACTGTGTAGGGATTAGGCGAGAAGTTGTAAATGGGGGAGTTTAACTTTGAACTAATACTATTGATAGTGTACTTTCTTCATGGCTTAGAGCCTCCAGAGTAGGTGTTATTGTACACCAAACTGGGTTATCATATCTTGGTGTTTTTATCATTCTGCATTGTTCAGTTTTGTTTTCGATTGATTAATATGTCGTATAAGATGTTGGAACATCTATTACGATTCTAGACTGACGAGTTTTGTATCACTCTGTTGTTATTGTAGAGATCATTATCTCAACATGTGTTAGGACATGTGTAATCTATATACCACAATTTCAATTGGTATCAGAGCAGGCGTCCTGTCTGTTTCTGGATAAGATCAGGGAAGATACTTTCTGGTTCATGGGCTTGAAGGAACAAGGTGTTGCTTGTAGCTTTGGTGGTGAGCTGTTCTATTTGGTTTGATTTATTTTCAAACCTGGATTTTGGTGATTGTGTAAAAGGGTGATTAAGTTGCGATTGAAGGTTGCTGATGAGTTTTTATTTGTTTTGTTGCATCTGATAGAAAACTCCTGCCTGTTGGTTCCTGGTGTATCTGGTGTTGAGGTTGCAAGGAGGTTTTCCCTTGAAATATAATAAGGAAGAGCTTTGTGATTTATTCATATATGAAGGTGTATCCTGTTTTGTATTGATACTTGGAGGTTGTTTCAACCAGCCTGCTAAAGTGGCCACAGATGCTTGAGGATTATCTCAAGTGTACTCATAAAGGCACATTTTAGTGAATTTGTTGAAAAGAGATCTGAAGAAAGTTAGAAGCAATTTATTTTTGCTTTTAACCCTAAAAGGCCAATCTCCAGCTTTTGTCAAAGGATCTTTTGGTGTGTTCCATGGAATAATGTTCTATCAAATGTTAGAACATCACGTCGCCAAGTTGTGCATAATTTTGTTGACTAAAGGAATGGCATTGGAGATGATTTGGGTGCTAAGCAAATGTGTTCTGATCATATATATTTATAACATTATCCTGATCTGGAAGAGGAGGCATCATGGTTGTATGTCTAAGAAGGTTATGTTCTAAAAACAGGTCTTAGATATGTGTGTTGGTCAAGAGTTGATCAACATCTTATTTTACTCCTTGGGTCAGTTTATTTTTGATCAAAGGATATATGAGTGTTGAAGCTGAGCTCGAAATGAAGATTTATTCTCTCAATCAGGTTCTTCATATGGGGATGTTAAGTTCAAATGTCGAGGACATTCTCTATGACATCTAGAAGAGTCTCCTGATCAAGAGAAGTCAAATTTGTGTGATTTTGCTTGTGACTATTCTAATAAAATAGTTTCTGACTGAGTTGGAGAAGGGGATGTTAAGCAGATGATTGGTGGATGTTTCTCAAAAACATGATGGAGGTTGTTTACTCTAATTTGATATCTCTTATCAACTCTATGAGAACATGGAACTCTTGTTCTACTGAAGTAGAAGAGACACTCAAGGGGTTGTATGCTATGAATATGTATTAACTTATGTGGTTTATTAGTGGTTACATGGTTGGAGTGTCATCTAAAATGCTTGGAATGAGTTGAGCTGTTCAAGCTTTGTGAGGCTTGATGGATGGAGAGAAACATATTTTTATTGAACAATCTGTTTGAGTTATGTGTAGGGAAATGTTTCTCTAGTAAAGTTATGCTTCTGATTAATGACAAATACTTTGACGGGAGCTGTGTATTTGTCTGATGTGTTAATGCAGAAAGTATATGAGAATATATTTCCTGGTGCTTCTTGATCTGGTATCTGGGTTGTATATCTGCCATGGCTGGTTGGCATGAAAAAGAATCCACTTATGCTAAGTGGTGTGTAGAAGAAGCATGTAAGACCAAATGTTCTACCTAGTGTGAGAATGTAGTATTATATTTTATCTGATGATAAATACTCTAACGGGAGTTGGGTATCTGTCTGAGGTGTTCGTGCATAATTATGTTCTGAATATTATGATTCATAAGTGGTTGGGAGTTTATTTATCTTCATGTGTCTCTTTTGTGTGGTAGCATCACCTGCAATGTTTGCATTAAGATTTGTTCCTCAGATGAAGATGTGCATGTGAATCATGGCAAATATCTTGACGGGAGCTGGATATTTGTCTGATTAGTGTATGCAAGTCATATATCTGAACTCTTTTCTTCATAAAAATACTAGTGAGTGTGTTGAATGCGTGACTAATGTCATGTTGAAGATTCCATGTGTACCAGC